ATAGCATTTTCTTGTATTTTTTTGTCTGCCACAACAGTCCGACCGAAGTTCTCATGTACACGTTGTATAAATTAAATCACGGTGACGGACAAAGAAGAACATAACTGGCGATTCATAAAAGCAAGGAACCAAGCAGGGCCCCCGAACTGCAGTGGACAGTCAGAACAGTGTATTTGATTTTTTCAGTAGTCGGGAAAAAGCATTTTCTTTGTTTGAGATAGGAGCTATCTCTGCATCAAATATTTTACTTATGGCTGCATCCACTTTGAGGTATAGTGTAGGAACCAAGGTAAAGGTGATAGCGTCAAACCAGGAATGCACGCAGAAACTGCAAGTATGTGAAGCCTGTTAGAGTTTCCTCATCCTAACAGTGTTCATGCAGTAACAGGCAGCTTTTGGTCAACTACACACGCTGTGTTGCCCAAGTAACAGTTCCAATTTTTTCTCACTAGATTTCTGAGATAAAGCGCATTGTTACGTCTTACATTTCTTTACGAAATTTCCTTGCTGCAAGTAAATATTCAGTTACGTTGTTGAGGGCTTGTAATGCACTGTAAGTCCCCCATACTTACCCTGGTGCGTCTTTCAGAAAAAGAAATCGAATTCCTTTTCTAAACTTGAGCACTCTTCTTATCATTCCGACGATTTATTTACAGCTGGGACGATTAGAGGACAAATCATGAATAATGAGTTTGCTGAATAATACAAAGGTGCCAGTGAGAGAATGGCAAGAAATTTTCTGTTGAGATCTTTTATGAAATCTGCAGTCTCACATATTTACCAGAAAAAAATAGGGAACATATGTTTTATAGGCCAAATTTACTATTGAGTACATACAACTCTATTCTAGTGGAAAAATACGAATTCATAATGAATAAGCCCCTATACCACTAAAGGCTATAACTGACCAAGAATGTCAGTTATGTTCCATCATAACTGTCCGGTAAGTTTTGTCCATGGATTCATATTTTTTGGTGGACAGTGAGCCTTAATAACCACTACTTCTGGATTTAGTGAACTAATTACGATGGGCTGATTGGCATGTACAATTGTACAAACATGTTATGCGTTTAATGCTCACAAAACTAGCTTCGTCTTGTTGCTTGGCCCGTCAGAAAACTGGTTTTCATTCTGCGTTCCACATCATTTGATTATATTCTTATTTCTGAGTTCGTGCAACATGACTTTGCCTATCCTACATAAAAAATCAACTTTGAAATGTTTTACTTTCATAACAATATAGTAAGTTGGCACCAAGTCCAAAAAGGGCATGATCTAGTACTGGGACGCAAATGAGTAGCAATAAAGTCCACCGCCTAGCATCGTCTGCTTTAGACCTTAATGTGATCGAATCGTCCCAAATGTTTTCAAAATTCCAACTGTACAATTGCCGGCGTCCTTGTGTGTCACGAACACTTTTTCTTCCAACTGGCTTAGCGAAAACTATCTTCAGGTTTAGCTCCACTCAAAACTTCGATGGAAAATAACACGTATTGTTTAGTGCTTTCTTGCACTAAAGTTTAAAACACGAGATTCTTGATACTAGGCTAGACACTGACTTACTGTTTCGCCAGGCTGTCCTCTTGGACCTTCGGGACCCTGCTTTCCTTGTGGTCCCTGCGGTCCTTCAGGACCTTGGTCTCCAGGTTCGCCGTCTTGGCCATCGGGTCCGGGTTCCCCGCTATCTCCCTGTGGACCATCGTCACCAGGAGGATAAATGGGGCATCTTGATAGTTGCATTGCTTCACCTATAAAATGCACGTGGATACACATAGTACTTCGAAAATAGCCGTCAGGTGCGA